GAGTTGCTATTGACCAGGAATTCAATTGAGCTCACCACATAAATACAATGGCTACAAGACCAGATCAAAGGCCAGGAATACTGCGGTGAGTAACTCCCCTCCTGATTACCCAAAACCTGTCCACCATCAGCGAGGTACAAGCCAGAAGTATGATGGAATAATCCCCACTTGTCTGGATGGGTGCAGTTCCAACAACACATAAGAAGCTTGACACCATTCACGACAAAGCAGCCTGCTTGATTGATACAACATCCACAAGCATCCACTCTCTCCACCACTTGATCAGTGTCTACCATCTTCAAGTACTACAGAAATTCAGCAAGTCCTTCCAAACCCACAATCACTTCTTTGTAGAAGGACAAGGGCAGCAGATAGTCAACACTTAGCTCAGAATGTTAACAAGGAGTTAGGAGGCTAAAAGGGAGCCATGAAGTCACCCTGGCAAACAAGATTAAGGAAAATCTCAAGATTTCTTATGTGGCATGGTGGCTCAGTGGTTAGCACTGCTGCCTCACAGCACCAGGGACCTGGGTTTGATTCCACCCTCGGGCAACTGTTTGTGTGGAGTTTGTACATTCTCCATCTGTCTATGTGGGTTTCCTCCCACAGTCCAAAGATGTGCAAGTAAGATAGATTGGCCATGCTAAAGTGTCCAGGGGTATGTAAGGTAGGTGGGAAATGCAGGGTTACAGGGAAAAGGATAGAGGGATGGGTCTGGGTGGGATGCTCTTTGGAGAGGTGGTGTGGACTTTTAGGCTGATTGGCCTGTTTCCATACTGTAGGGATTCTAACTATATAAGGAACAAGAGCATAGGTAGGTCCACTCAACGATAAAAGAGGAAATTTATTATTGGAGATGTAGGAAGTGAGTGAGGCCCTTAATGAATACTTTGCATCGGTATTCACAAAGGAGAAGGACATGGCAGATGGTGAATCAGAGAGGGGTGTGTTGATATTCTACGGCACGTTGATGTACAAAAAGAGGAGGTGTTAGGTGTTTTGAAAAACATTAATGTAGACAAGTTCCCAGGACCTGATGGGATCCATCCCAGAATACTGAGGAAGGTGAAGGAGGAAATTGCTGGGGCCTTGTACAAAATCTTTGTATCTTCTTTCATCACAGGCAAGGTCCAAGAGGTCTGGAGAATAGCCAACATTTTTTTTAGCCATGGGAAGTTCTTTTTTTAAGAAGGCCAACAGGGATAATCTAGGAAAATACAGGCCGGTGAGCCTTATGTCAGTGGTAGGGCAATTATCAGAAAATATTCTTAGGGACAGGATTTATTCATATTTGTAAAACTATAGGCTTATTAGTGATAAGTGATTAGTGGCTTAATGCGGGACAGGTTGTGTCTCACAAACTTGACTTTTTTGAGGAAGTGATGAAGGTGATTGATGAGGTTAGGGTAGTATATGTTGTCTCTATGGACTTTAGCAAAGCCTTTGACAAGGTCCCTCATGGCAGGCTGACACAGCAGGTGAAGTGACATGGGATCCGCAGTGAGCTGATAAGATTGATACAGAACTGGCTTAGTCATAGAAGACAGAGAGTTGCAGTGGTAGAGCTGGAGATCAGTGGGGTTCCATAGGGGACCAGTGCTGGGACCCCTGTTGTTTGTAAGATATTATGTGACTTGGAGAATGTAGGTGGACTGATTAGTAAGTTTGAGGGTGACAAAGATTGAGAGGGCTGAGGATAGTGAGGAGGATTGCTAGAGGTTTTGGCAGGATATAGATAGGCTGGAGACTTGGGAGGAGAAATGACAGATTGAATTTAATCAGGACAAATGTGAAGTGAAGCATTTTGGAAAGTCTGACGCAGGACAGAAGTATGCAGTAAATGGCAGAACCCTTTGTAGCATCAACCTACAGAGGGATCTAAGTGTACAGGTCCACAGTTCCCTGAAAGTGACAACGCAAGTGCATAAGATCATCAAGCTGACGTTTGGCATGTTTGCCTTCATCTGACAAGGCATAAAGTATAAAAATTGGCAAGTCATATTGCAGCTGTATAGAACTTTAGTTATCCACATTCAGAGTATTGCATCCAGTTCTGGTCACCACACCACTAGAAGGATGTGAAGGCTTTGGACAGGGCACAGAAACAGTTTAAACAAGATGTTGCCTGATTTGGAAGACATTGGCTACGAGAAGAGTTTGGATTTGGTTTATTTTCATTTGAATGTCAAAAGATGAGAGATGACGTGATCAAGATTTACAAAATTGCGAGAGGCATGGATAGAATGGATAATTGGAATCTTTCTCCAGGGTAGAAATGTCAATTACTAAGGTAAATAGGTTTAAGATAAAAGGGGGGAAAGTTTAAAAGAGATGTGAGAGGCAGCTGTTTTCTCCCCTCATACAGAGGATGGTAAATGCCTGGAATGCCAGAAGTGGTGGTAAAAGCAGATACAACAGCAAAGTTTAAGAGACATCTTGACAGATACATTAGTAGGCAGGGAACAGAGGGATTCGGATTACATCGTGGCAAAATGTTTTTAGTTTAGAAAGGCATCATGTGTCGGTGCAGACTTGGTGGTCTATAGTGTTAGTGCTGTTCTGTTCTTTGTTGTAGATACATAGGAACACCATCATGTGCAAGTTCCCCTCCAGGCCACTCAACATCCTGATTTGGGAATATATTGTTCCTTCACTGTCACTGAATCAAAATCCTGGAATTTCCTCCCTAAGAGCATTGTGGGTCTACCTACAGCACAGGGACTGCAGCAGTTCAAGAAAGAGTTCACAGCCGCCTTCTCGAGGGCAACTAGGGACAAACAAAAAATGCTGGCCCAGCCGGTGATGTTCACGTCTCATGGGTGAATGTGAAAAATTCTATTTGACTTTTTCACCACCTGCTGCACCTGCATGCTTACTTTGTGTGACTGGTGTACAAGGACACCCAGTCTCATCCCCATTCCCAATCGATAATAATCCACCATCCTGCATATCTGCTTTGCTACTAAACTGACTAACTTTACACTGATCCACATTATACTTCATCTGCCATGCATTTGCTCACTTACTCAACTTGTCCAAAACACACTGAAGCATCTCTGCATCCTCCTCAAGGCTCACTCTCCCACCCAGCTTGGTGTCATCTGCAAACTTGGAGATATTACATTTAGTTCCCTCATCCAAATTATCATTATGTATTGTGAATGGCTGGAGTCCAAGCATTGATCCCTGTGGCACCCCATTGCCATTCAGTAGAAGAAATACGCACTGAGCAAAGCCCACATCCCATAAGCAAATAATTTTTCAAAGATTCTGAATACAGAGAACCCTGGTCTCAGGACGCAGGGACAGACGGCACAGTGGCTTAGTGGTCAGCGCTACTACTTCCCAGAAGTATATATAATCAGAGAAATTTGTACCACGGCAGGAGATCATTTGGGCCACCAGTTATCCAAATTCTTTGGAGGGGTAATTGTGCTTTTGTCCTGCGGGGAAAAAGATTGCTAATTATATGACTAAAAACTGCATCTGCATCTAATGGGAGTATTTCTTGCTGCACTTAAAGCTGACATAAAATATAACCTTATTGATCAGAACTTCTGTTGCTTTTACCATGGTGGCACAGTGGTTAGCACTGCTGCCTCACAGCGCCAGGGACCCGGGTTCAATTCCACTGTCTGTGTGGAGTTTGCACATTCTCCCCATGTCGGCGTGAGTTTCCTCTGGGTACTCCGGTTTCCTCCCACAGTCCAAAGACGTGCAGGCTAGATGTATTGGCCACACTAAATTGCCCATAGTGTCCAGGGACGCGTAGATTAGGTGCGTTATCGGGAATGGATCTGGGTGGGATGCTGTGACGGTTGGTGTGGACTTGTTGGACCAAAGGGCCTGTTTCCACACTGTTGGGAAGGTATGATCAAGTAGGGTCCTGAGTTCGATTCCAGCCTCGGGTAACTGTGTGCAAACTCTGCACATACTCCCTGTATCTGCATTTAGGTTTCCTCCCACAGTCCAAAGGTTAGGTGAATTGGCCGTGATAAATGCAGGGTGGGATGCTCTTTGGAGGGTCGGTGCAGACTCAATGGGCTGAATATCCTCCTTCTGCACTGCAGGGGTTCCTACGATTCTAAGGACTTTGATAAAGTTCTTAGGCCTAAAAGGTATAAGGGATCAGGGTACAGAATTGAATGATCAGCCATGACCACACTGAATGGTGGAGCAGGCTTAAAGGGCAAATGGCTTACTCCTATATACTCATGGAAATCCTAGACCCTAGCTGGAGAGAACCCCAGACCTTAGGTATGTGGAATTCCAAGCAATGGGTGTAGAAAACCTTGGATAAATGGAACCACAGGTTCTGGAAAGATAGAATCCCAGATCCTCGATGGAGAGAACTTCAGGCACTAGATATAGGAAGCCATAGGCCATGGACAGAGAGAGAGAGAGCAAACTACAGATGATGGATTTAAAGAACCCAGGATGTAGGTATGGGGGGGGGGGGGGGGGGGGGGGGGGGGGTACAGTTAAGTAAATGGTTGAATAAGGACAGTTTGCAGTAAGCGGGTGGGGAACAGTCCACAAAGTCGGTGAGGGGATGGGCATGTCATTATAGCTGTCAGTCTTTGGCTGGTGGAATTCAGGTTTTTGGGATGCTGGCGTCCGGACCCCAGGGGCAGGGGAGGGTGGCGTGATTGGGCATGTGTGTCTGGGACAGTTAGTGGTGCGTTGGGAGGAAATGTGGGCAGTTTCATATGCAACAGGAGTAACAGAGCGTCTCACTCCCTGTAGCGTTCCCAGGTCAGTGACTGGAACATTTATAAATCTCCAACGTTTAATGCTTGGCATCTTTTTCGGAGAGTTCCAGCTGCCAGAGACTGGAAGTTTTGATGTCTTGAGAAATTCCCATGGGACAGTGCATTGGTATACCTAAGGGTCTGGAAGCATAGCTTTCAGGGTATGAACAGTCTTGAGTATCTGGCATTATGTTTAATTGCGACTGTGCAGAAGAGTGAGATTTAAAAAACACACAGGTTTCTCCTGTATTCGATTGATTCATATGCAATTTAATCAAAACTATTTTTGTAGAAATGGCTTTTTATAAGCTGAGCTACAACTCCACTAATGTAACAGTTAATCCTATCCTTCAAAAATATTCACTTTGTCCAAATATTTACTTTGTCATAATAGTCAGTATCGATCTGAAGAAAATAGAAAAGATATTTTACAAATAACATCTAAACACAGAATACAATGCCTCAATATCAATACATGCTTCTGGGAATGCAGAGTGCCAACTGTAGACACCTGACAGGGCACGTGAATCAGGGAATGGATCTGTATCTGCCAGTTCTCACTCGAACGGTGTACCAACTGAGAGGGCGCGTTACAGACCAGCATGTACCAACTGAGAGGGCGTGTTACAGACCAGCACGTACCAACTGAGAGAGTGTCCATTACAGACTGGCGCGTACCATAAGACAGTAAGACGTAGGGGTAGGAGCAGATGCCTGATATGTCTGCTTGACACCATACATTGACAGAGGCAACACACGTTATTTGGTTATTATTGAATGTAACTGTCGGAAACACTTTGTAAAAAGAAATTCGATTATTCACACAGCCATTCCAAAATAATTCAAATAAAAACATTCTCCCTTCATTGGATCTGACCATCCAAATCAGGTACTTTATAAATATCAAACAGTATGACAGGTCTAAAGCTGAGAAGCACAATATCGGAGAGGTTTCTAGCTTGTCAGTAAGTTTACTGTGATTCAGTGCAATATTCAAGTGAACAGTTACAAGCCCAGTGAATGGTCAATTTGAGAAGCTGCCTGGTTCTGCAAGTACATGGATTGTCTTTGCAAGCCAATGCTTAAAAGCTAAGGCACATTCCTTAGAAAGGAGTGGTCCAATCACAAACATTGTCAAAACTGTGCCTCCCCTGCCTTCAGCACTGGCACTGTGACATACCACAGTGACATTTCATACTTTACAGCAATTGTATTATACAATCCAGTCACACTGCAGTCATGGTATCCAGTGTGGATGAATTGTATATACTGTCCATGCTGTATACTCGACCACTGTACTCTAATTATACCATATTATACAATACAGACACATCGAGTCACTGTAACCAGTCACATTTCCATACACGTACTGGTCACAGTACATACAACACGACAACAGACATCATGTAAAGTTGTACAAACTGCAGTCAGAGTATGACTGACTTCCCGGTGTAATTACAAACAGTGTACATTGACACAAAACCACCTGTCTTTAAATTGATAGCAGAGGACTAACCACAGCAGATAGACGCGAGGTGAAGGGCTGGGTTGAGACAGGGACAGCAGAGAGTTTGAGAATGGGACCGTTCTGGGATCCAGTGCAGTTGTGGTGACGGGTGGGAGCCTGGATGCTTGTGCAAAGTGACCCACTTACTCCAAGAGTCAGATAATAACCAGTGCTCAGGCTGTAAGATCGCAAAGTCAATGAGCAGTCTCATCCCTCAGGCAATCAGCGCAGCAAAAGGTCGAAATTCGGAAACGTGTCCACGCTGTCAGCTGCCAAGTCTCCACACAGTACAGTAATGCCCGCTCTTTGTTGTTCTGAAGTGCTACTTTGGATTGAGGGGTAAGCTGGAAGGAGACTGAGTGGCAGCATGGAATGTTACACTGGCACGGAGAGACTGTCCATCATGATGGGCTGCGGCTGCCTTTGGATCCAGAGGTCGTCGGGGTTCTTCTTCCTGACTGTGTCTTTTTGCCGTCGACAGCACTTGCAGGGAGTGTGCCGCCCACTACAGCAGCCGTAGCAGCAGAGACACAGGACAAGCAACAGCAGCAGGATGGGCAGAATCAGCAGAACCACCAGGCAGATCGAGTTGTACAGCCCCTCATTGTGCTTGGCCAAGATCAACTCCCACATCGACTGAAAGAACGTGCGCACAGTCTCCAACATTGTTACACTGGCTTGCTCTGTCAGTCGTACAGAGAGAATACTCACACACTCTCACACAGTGTACGGGCAGAGTGATTACTCACACAAGGGACAGGCGGAGTGAATGTTCACACAGTGTACAGGTGAATACTCAGTATTTACAAGCTGGATTACAAGCAGGGAGGCTGCTCACACACAGAATACAGGCACAGTGAGTGGGTTAGCCGATTGAACCGCTGGGCTGTAGCGAGGTCTTCAAAAGTTTCTATTTCACCTTGCTCTCTGTACCACGTGGACCCTGAGAGAAGGAAACAGAAAACGTTTAGAGAACAAGATTGAAATGGTCAGCGCTCACTCCTGACCCCAACCTCCACACCCAAAGAATTGCAGAAACCCCCCTCCCCACGTCCCCAGTCCTACACACCTCGCCTCCCCACGTCCTCCGGTCCCACACATCCCCACCCACCCCAGGTCCCACACTCCGCTCCCCATGACTCCCACGTCCCACATCACCCCCGTCCCCATGCTGCCCAGTCTCTCAGATCCATCTTCCTCAAATCCATTAATTATAATTTTCACCCAAGCCGATGCAAATTAAACAATCACAAAGCTGAACAGTGAGGGATAATGGTTCAAATCTTTCACTTTGGATGGGAAGTCCTATTTTCAATCCTGATCAAACAAAGACAAAACGTGCTTAGCTTCCTGCAAATCTCTGGGTGATCTTCTGACACCTGACTCTTCTGATAACCGATTCACGGGGGCATCCACAGGGGGCACAATGGAGAGGGTCTGCATAGATACTACATCCTTTTTTATTGACTGCACTAGCTGCCGTATTCAATTTTTAAAGGAGGTTAAATACCCCAAAGCTTCTTTGAAAAGCTGACGTGAATTATTCAGATTAGAATTAGTAGCAGTGTGGAAAAAGGTAGGTTGATTAGAATGAGCATGGATTTCTGAAGGGGAAACTGTGTCTAAATAACTTGGATTTTCAGAAGGTATTGATACAGTACCACACAGCAAACTTAAGGAAAGCTATAGGTCATGGTATAAAAGGAACTGCAGCAATGTGGATACAAAATTGTCAGAATGATAAGAAACAAAGAGTAATGGTCAGTGGATATTTTTCAGGCTAGGAGATGATTTATAGTGGACTTCCCCAGGGGTCAGCATTGGGATCCTTGCTTTTCCCAATATATATTAATGTTCTAGATCTTGCTGTGCAGGGGACAAATTCAAAGTTTGTAGATGGCAGTAACTTTGGAAGGATTGTAAACTGTGAGAAAAACACAGTGTGGAACTCCAGAGGACATTGACAAGTTGGTCAAGGTTCAATGCAGAGATGCAAGAGGCTCTTTGTTCAAAAGAACACTGAAAGATGATAGAAAATAGGGGGTACTATTCAAATGGAGGAGAAAGAGCAGAGAGACCTGGGTATACATGTGCACAGGACACGTGGAGAGAGTAGTTAATAAAACAGACAGTGTCCTCAGCTTGATGTACAAGAGCAAGGAGTTGATGTTGAACTTCTACAAGACACCTGCTAGTCCTCAGCTAGAGTACTGTGTACAGTTGGGGTGACACATTATAGGAAGGACTTGAATGTACTGAAAAGACTGCAGAAGGAATTGGGAAGTCATGTTTAGGTTGTACAGGATATTGGTGAGGCCTCTCCTGGAGTATTGTGTCCAGTTCTGGTTGCCCTATTATAGGAAAGATATTAAGCTGGAGAGGGTTTAGAAGAGATTTACCAGGTTATTGGAAGGCCTGAGTTGTAAAGAAAGGCTGGATAGGTTGGGATTTGTTCACTGGAGCATAGGAGGTTTGAGATGACCTTATAGAGGTTTATAAAATCATGAGGGGTATAGATAGGGAAAAGACACCTACCATTAACCTAGGATGGGGACTTCAAGACTAAAGGGTATATTTATAAGGTGAGAGGAGAGACTTTTTAAAACAAAAACATGAGGGGCAAATTATTTTTTATTTTACACAGAGGGTGGCTCCTGTGTGGGAGGAACTTCCTGAGGAAGTGGTGGATTGCAGGCACAGTTACAACATTTAAAAGACACTTGGGTAAGTACATGAATAGGAAATGTTTGGAGGGGTATGGGCCAGGAGCAGGCAGGTGGGACTAGTTTAGTTTGGAATAAAAACCAAAAGAACTGCAGATGCTGTAAAGCAGAAACAAAAACAGAAGTTGCTGGAAAAACTCGGTAGGTCTGGAAGCGTCTGTGGAGAGAAATCAGAGTTAATGTTTCCGGTTGAGTGACCCGTTCTGAGGCAGGGTCACCAGACCTGAAACATTAACTCTGATTTCTCTCCACAGATGCTGCCAGACCTGCTGAGCTTTTCCAGTAACTTCTGTTTTTGTTTCTAGTTTAGTTTGGGGTTATGTTCAGCATGGACTGGTTGGACTAAAGGGTCCGTTTCCATACTCTATGGCTCTAAGTGATTTACAAGAACGGTTCCAGGAATGAGAAACTTCAGCGATGAGGATAGATTGGAGAAGTTGAGACTTGTTCTTCCTGAGAGGAGACAGCTGAGGGGAAATTTGACAGAAGTTTTCAAAATCATGAGTGGACTGGTTAGATAGGGAGAAGCTGTTCTCACTCAGAAAGGGAACAGAGGGGGCATAGATTTAAAGAAATGCACAAAAGAAGCAAGGGTAATGTGAAAAAAAAAGTACTTTCCACTCAGCAAGATGTTGGAGTATGGTATGAGTTCAGATAGAGGGTCACTGGACCCAAAACGATAACTCTGCTTTCTCTCCACAGATGCTGCCAGACGTGCTGAGTTTCTCCAGCTATTTCTGATTTCCAGCAGGTCTTGGTTATTTTTTGCTAATGGAATACAATGCCTGGAAGTGTGGTGGAGGCAGATTCAAGTGAGGAATTTAAGAGGGGCATTGGATGGTTATTTGGATAGTAATGGTGTATACAGGGATATTATGAAGAAAGGGCAGGAGATTGGCACATGGCAATGATGCATGTTTGAAGAGCTGGTGCAAGTACAATGGACTGAATGTCTTCCTTCCGTGCTGTAATAATTCTGTGATTCTGAGAAACAGTAAGTGGACAAGGTGATAGCTGGGTGAGTCCAGAGCAGGGCAAAGGTTAGGTCTGGGCAGATCAGATCAGAGAAGAGTTGGGTTATGGGATTGAGTTGGGGGTGGTGGTTCAACATGAATGATTGGGAGTGCCAGTTGTATCATTACACAGTCTACTATTTCCCCAGTTATTATCCAGGCAAGCTCATTAGAAATGTCCATTGGTTCATTAGAAATCTTTCAAAGGTCCCAGGGAGCAGGGAAAACGTCTGAAGTTCATAATTCCATGGGATTCTAACATTTGTTTTTAAATTTGTTCATGGATGAGGGTGTCACAATTTAACCCCCCCATCCCTAATTGCCCAGAGGGGAGTTAAAAGTTGACTACATCATTGTGGGTCTGGAGTTACATATAGGTCAGACTGGGTAAAGATGGCTAAAGGGAAGATCGATTTTTAAAGATGACAATTGACCATTGGTATCCATTAGGATGGACTTTTATTCTAAATTTTCTTTGGATGTGGTGATGTGGTGGGTTTTGAACCATGGGTACATTGACAAACACAGAGCATGTTGGAGGAACTCAGCAGGATTGGCAGTTAATGTTTGAGTCTGGCACTGAAGTCCCAAAGAAGAGTCATATCAGATTCAAATAGTTAACTCTTGTTTCTCTCTCCACAGATGCTGCCAGATCTGTCGAGTTTTTCCAGTACTAAATCGGTGTTTGTTTCAGATTTCCAGCACCCAAAGTATTTTTCCTTTCCCTAGAACAGTGGCCTGAAGATTTACATTGTTAGTTCAGTGACATTATCACTACACCACTGTCTTCTCCTATTGGGAAGATCTGGAGCAATATAAAATATCAGGAAAGTGTATATAGAAATGCAAAGAATTATGTAAATCCACGGTGGTGTGAATGATAGCGAGAATAGCAAAGAAAGACAGGCCTGCAAAAAGGAAACTACAAAATCATTTTTAGCAATATCATGATTAACACAGATTGGTGGAATACTTTGTCAGGCTTCACAGCGGAGAAAAATGATAATGAAACTGACATTGCTGGGAAATCAGTCATGAATCGAAGACTGGAATTCACCAAAATTAATGCAAATCAGTAAAACAATATCAGATGAATAATACCTTAAGACTGAGAAACTCCAAGGATTTGATCAATTCCAACCCAGGGATTTGAAGGAAGTGAGGAAACCAGACATTTTAACCACGGCCTTTTAAACATTCTGGATTCAGGAATACTCCCATTAGATTGGAAAACTGCTGATGGAATTCCAATAATTAAGGAAGGTGTGAGAGAAATTACAAACGTATTAGTCGACCATCTCCTAGAACATAGAACAGTACAGGCCCTTTGGCCCACGATGTTGTGCTGACCTATTATCCTACTCTAAGATCAAACTACCCTGCATACCTTACATTTTACTATCATGTGGCGTATCTATACTTAAAAATGTAGTAAGTGGGCACTTAAAGACATTTCAGCTAATCTGACAGAATCCACATTGATTTATAAAGGTGAAGAGATCTGTTAAGGATGTGAGGGACCCTGAGTGTGTTCAGGGGAGATTTATCAGAATGGGTCCAGAGTTGAGGGATTTTAGTGACAAGATTCGGTTGGAGAAACCGGAGTTGTTCTCCATGGATCAAAGAGTGGTAATGACCTGGAACTCTCTGCCCACGAGAGTTGGAGTTGAATTCAATGAATGATTTCAAAAGGAAATTAGATGGACTCTTGAGGGAAATAATCTTGCAGAGTAACGGGAAAGAGAGTGGGGGAATGGGACTGACTGGATTGCTCCACAGGAGGCCAGCATGGGTGAGTGGACTTTTTCTGTGCCATAAATGATTAGGATACAGAAGAATCTGAGGTAAGTTATGTGGACTTTCAGAAGGCACTCTAGGAAGTTTGACATAAAACAAAGGCTGTTGGCTAAAACTAAAGCTGATTGAATGAATGGATAACTATTGACAAAGTTAGGAGGTTGGTTAGGTGATTGAGTACAATCCCGTTATCCCTGTACTCTATCAGGAAGCATATAATGAATGTCAGTGCACAAAGTTTAAATGCTTCACTATATTTAACGTTTTATTGATTTTAATAATACAACAGAGATCCACCTATAAAAACACTGTCAAATTCCTCAACCCCAACACATCAACAGACTACATTATTGGACCAAACTATTCAACATGGCGAGTATGATGCCACCAATTGAGGACACAGGAGTGAA